AGCTTGGAATGAGCTTAATTAAAAAATGTTAATTTTTTAATTAAGTTTTCAACTAAGAGCTATTAAGCTTTTAATTAAGAAAATTTTAATATTTGGACACAGCTTGGAACGAGCTGTGTGTGTCTAATTCCAAGCTGTGCTGGAATTAGTTTTTATGTGTCTAAAACCGTTGCTCAACTTAATCATCTATCAATTTATTTACCACTAGTTGGAATCAGCAAATACAAGTACAGTAAAATGGGGTTACTTTGACTCCCGGGGTAACTTTGACCACTTTTTGTTTTTTAACAAAAACTCCCAAAACTCAAAAACTATTTGACATAGAAAAATTTTGTCAGTGGCCATTAAAGGCCTAATACTGAGGCTACGCAACACAATAGAAAGATTTAAAAAGTTCACATATCTAACAGGTTAAAAAATTAAAAATGTGACCCAAGAAAAAGAGCTATTATTTAAAGCCTGTCGGAGTACCCCCTCCAATTTTTTTATTTATTGGTAAAATAACTCCAGGCTTTGATGCATTGTAGTAGAACTCTTCTAGTTACATATGCAAATGACAAATTTTAGGAAAGTGTCATAGTTTGCAAATGGGGGCGCTGCCCCCCAATGGGGGAACTCGGACCACCTAATGGCAGCCCTGACGGGGTAACATAGACCGGCTTGGAAGTTGATATAAAATTACCATATATAACATATTTTATGTTTGACAGCCTATTTATGTTTTTCTTTATGTTTCAGACTCTACAGAGTCTTATATATGGTAATTTTAACTTAAGTCTAAGTTACCCCAAGAGCTGGGGTAACAAAGACCATCACTTTTTTTGAAATTACATAAAGACTATGAGAGGCAGGAGCCAGCAATTTATGATGAGTGAAGCTAGAGTATAGACCTGTATTTTGCACGTTTCAATTCAAGTTTAATTTAGCTAGTAAAAAAATGGCATCATTTATAAAAAAAATGGTCTAAGTTACCCCATTTTACGGTATATCTCTTACTCTCCACACACTCTATCATCACAATTGATTTCCAGACTGCATTGCAACTGATTTCCTTCACTGCATCGCAACTGATTTCCTTCACTGCATCTTGATCCATCTGATGTACGGTACTGGAAATCACTGTGTGCGCTTGCGGTCTGCGAGATTTGCAATAATTGAAATAATTTCTAAGTAATTTCTAAAATGCAATAATTTCAATCCAAATGTGCTGGCAAGATCTTCTGAAGGTGTAAATTTTGCTGCTGATGCGTCACCAAAGATCTTATGATATTCATCCAATTTCTGCACCCTGGGCCTGGATGAGTGCACTAGAGTAGTCCACCAACAAAATAGCTGCCATTTCCTTAGAAAGTAACAAACTAAGCAACACATTGTAAGAAGATTGCACTCTTAGAGGGCTTTTGAATTGCTCCATCTCCCTCCCCAGTACTCAAGTGAGCATTGCTGGAGTGCTCTGGACGTTTGTGTGGATCTATATGACCTAGCAATTCCCCAATGCTTGTAAATTGCAATGGACCCCAGTCCACACCATTGTGAATTCTATGAATAGAGTTACTTGTGGCATTGTCATATCTGCTACCATTGAGTTAGCAGCAAGGTGAATTTAAAGAATCTATTGTGTCCTAAGATCTATTAAGAAGTTTTGCTGTGAAGAAGGTAACAAAACAAAAGCACAACATAGTTTTACCTTTATTGAACAATTCTGCTGTATCAAAAAATGGACTATTTGGAATGCTGCCTGACAACCGCCTCTAGCTTGTTCTGTTTCCACATGCTTCCAGGCACACGAGTTTCTTCCTGTTAAATATTTATTGCATTTGGGATCTTTGGATTTTTGGCACACTCCAAAATTACATAGGTAGATGGTCATTAACAAGGCAAATGGAATGGCACCATGCAAGTTAGTGTCCTATAAGTAAACCAGTGAAGATTATGTATACGTACCGTACCAGGCTATCACCATTAAAATAAATAGGATTAAGGTATTGAATGAAATTTTTAATGAAATGGACTGAGAAATTGTAATTTTGTAATTGAAATAAGTAGAAATGCGTAATAACTACCACCCAAGTCCCAAAGTGAAAAAATTGGCAGAACATACAATTGAATCAGACAAAAACACCTGCAAATCTTGCCAATTGTACCCATTCCTGGTTTTTCCCCAATTTCTTTGGTGAAGAATATAAAATGGCCTACTTTTATCTCCTACTAGTTTCTAAAATTACCTGTGAAATGATCATTTTCATCTGCAACATTTGAAAATTTCTGCCTGATATTACAAATTGGCCACCACTAATCATAATGCATGAAACATGTTATGTTATGTTGCCAAGTTGCCTACTTGCTGGACTTCAATGGCAATATTTTACTTTATTAACAATCTGAACATCAAATTTCTATTACAAGTGAAGTAGTTTTGTAATTATTATATATATTTTGAAGAAGAAGAAACCTTAACAGATTAAGATTACCAGATTGAAAAATTCCTATTTATTACTAAGTTTGAAATCTCAGAGCTCAACTGCAACATATTTTTCAATATTTTTTAATTTCATGGCTCAATCCTACACTTTTGTTAACATTATGATGAGAGATTATTCATCTAGCAGGAATCTTGCAGCTCCAAAAAAGGGCAAGAAAGCTTTAGGCCTAGTGGTGTCTTGTAAGAAAGTTTATACATTTGAATTACCATCATACTATGTCTGTGCAAGATTAGATCATTGTTCTCTTCAGTATTATTGATAGTTTCATCAATTAGAGGCAAGTAAGTGGCAGGTGCTGAGTGGTACCAGCATAGCTCATGTGTCAATAATGGCCATAATTATTATGATCTAAACCTCTTAGTTATTCTAATGATGTAGCACAAGTTATATATTCAAAACTCAGCAGATAATTGTGGCTCATGTACATATTCAAAATTGTACCAGCTTAAGCTAGGTCACTATCTCAATTGAAAAATGAATGCCAGCTGAGTTATAGACCACTGGGTATACCTATCTCCAGACTCCAGTGTGATAAGTCCCAGCTTCTTCCCTTTTTAAAAACATATTTTACTTTATTCTTGATTTTAATGTTTAGAAAATGAAGCTTCAAGCTTAATATCACTCTCAGCATAGTACGCAGATTATATAATTCTTCATTGATGTGAGATTTTCATCTAAATGGTCATTAAAAGTGTATTCAATGTACGTCTAACTCAAGTATTGCATACAACCCCTTGTCTTCAAGCAACTGTTTACTTCTGTATTTTTCTGCTAACTCCAAGTCTTCAAACTTCTATTATTATTGTATATTTTTCTTAGAATAGAATAGAAGTGTTGGCGTTGAAGAAATAGGCCCATGGCCTGTTGCCGATTCTTGAACTTTTTGTGACTTGATTCACAAGGGATCCGGCCTTTGGAACCCGATCTTTCCATAGCTGACGATTGATTGAGATAGCTGCTGGACTTATTGCCTGGTCCGTAATTTGCTAGGCATTTTAAGACTGAACATATGCTCCTGCGTAGCTTCGTCTAGTCTGTTTTTGAAGATGTTCATACTCGGAGCGTCAATGATGCTATCAGGGAGGCTGTTCCACATGTTGGTGACTCGAAGCGAGAAGAAATGTTGTCGCATGGATGTGTTCCAACGCTGTTTTTTTGGTTTATAGCCGTGGCCCCTGGTGTTGGTTCTTGTTTCAAATTCTAGTAATCCTTCTGGGACCTTGTATAAGCCATGAGTATACTTGTATACTTCAATGAGGTCCCCACGCAGACGTCGATAATGGAGGCTTGGATGCCTCATAATCTTTCATCTTTCCTCGTATGACTTGCCTTTCAAGCCCGGAACTATCCTTGTTGCGCGTCTTTGAACACTCTCTACTAAATTTTTGTCCTTTTCAAATTTCGGTGACCACACGACGTTTCCAAACTCCAGGTTCGGGCGCACGACAGCGACAAACAACTGCTTCATCGTTTCTAAATCTAGGAACTCGAAAGAGCGTCTGATCAGTCCAAGTTGTTGATTGGCTTTATTAACTTGACCTTCAATATGCTTAGAAAATTTCAACTCATTGTCGATATTAACTCCTAAATTCTTTTCCGTTGTCAACTTCGACATCATCACTCTGTCATTGCAACCATGTCTTCTCATACTGTAATCTTGCTGTTCATTATTCTTGCCAAGGTGGATAACTTTACATTTGTCAGCATTAAAACGTAGCTGCCACTTATCAGCCCAGTCAACCAGCCTGTCAAGATCACCTTGCAACTGTACTTTTTGCGACGTATTCTTCACCGTATTATAAATTTTTGTGTTGTCAGCATACATCGAGCAAACGCTAGACACAGCTTCTGGCAGATTGTTTATAAACGCAACGAATAGAATAGGCCCGAGAATGCTTCCTTGTGGCATGCCGCTGCGCACTGAAGCCCAGTCTGATATGGACCCATTAATTCTTATTCTTATGAGAAGACCATTCTTATACGGACCCATTCTTATCAGCAGTTAGCACAGTACTTTGCCACCAGCTAAGGTATGATGCTATATTCATAGTTGCTTCAATATAAATTTTGGCTTCAATTTAAATTAATTGTTTGTAATTGATATTAATGCAAGAACAAGCTAGCCATTGAGTATCCAAGAGAATTTGCTTTTGAGCACATTGTGTAGAAATAGAAATTTGCCTAAAAACAATTCCAAATAAGGAATTACCCTATCCCAAGGAATCCCAATTGCCCTACAGTTGCTGTGAATCTACCTCTAGCTAAATTTTATTCTCCACAGGACACTGTTCAACTTTTTAGAATATTTACACACTAAATTGTCTGTTCACGCTCATGATAGCTTGCAGGGTGTCCTCTACAAGCAGCACTGATTTAGTTGAGTCACAGGTGCTGCAAAACTGTACTGGCCAAATTTTCTTGTAGTTTTAAGTTATGGATTCCCTCCTGCCATTTGTTGTAGTAAAGTGATAATTACCATGTGCACTCTCCTAAAAAAACAAAATTAATTAATGAAACTAAAATATTGTGTGTTGCAGATCTCTTCTCTGTGAATGCTGGCTGCTACATGCAGCTAACAATATCCTGACAATGGATATGATAAGTTGGTCTCAGACAGAAATAAATAACACAATTATGAACTTGAAAAATTGCTGTTCTTCCTTCATTGGAATGTTGCCTGAGCCTGAATTGCAATTCCTGCCTGCATTTATTCTAGGAATGTTAGTTTCCTCAGCTGTCCTTGTTTATCTGGTGCAGAAAGATACCAAAAAATCCTATAAGGAATCATTTATGATTTTCATCAGGCAATTATTTTCTGCATATGAAAAAGATGGCTCGACTGAAAGGCAAATCAACTTACAATGCATGCTTGATAAAGCTAGCATGAGACTAAACAACACAGCCATAAAATGTAGTGACAGGCTAAGAAATTCTGTAAAAGATTTTGTTGAAAACTCAAATGAGGTTGATAACATGACCAGCAAAAATGTTTGTCTACGAATAGAACAACTTGCTTCTCATCATTTTTGGAATCAATTCAATGCATTTGATTGTGAGAAAGAAATAATCTTGAGAAATCTTCCAAAAATAAAAGAGGAATTCCTAAAAGTTTTTAAAGATTTTCAAAAAGGCATTTGTAAGCAGTGGACTAAAGATGAAGTACTAAGAGGACACAGCTGCCACTTCTCTCTCATCAGCAAGGGAGTGATCAACACAGTCAACTGTCAAGCATGTCCTAATACTTTCCAGGTGAATTATGTGACAGTAAAAAATGAAACATTTGGAATGATTTGCTGCATCTTTTTAATTCATCAATAATAACTGTTTTGAATATGTTAACAGCAAGCAATGGTTCATGAACTTGTTATTTGAACTAATTAATTTCAAACTTGTTATTTATATCATTCAGAATTAGATAATTACAATTAGGAAGACCATGTCTATTCTAAAATTATATTTGAATGTAATGATGTCAGGTGTAAAGTATCACTCACTGTTTCTTTTGAAATATCATCTGTAATGTTACCTACTAGGTATTCCTTGTTTAGAAGAATTCAGAATATATTTTTTGTTTATCCTGTCATAAAGATTAATCATACATTATACCTCACTAAATTTTATTATTTTGGTACAATTGAAGTTTCTGAAGCAACTTTGGATTTGGTGAAAGCTAACTCACTTATTCCCCTTCTTTAATTAATGTTGTACACACAACACTTGACTAATGTGGTAACTGAGAACGAAGGCCTTGTCTGTGAACAATGTTGTGTAAATGTCTTGTTTTAACCTCTCTCATTTTCCAGACTCTGAGTGAGTGCCGGGTGATGGGTCTCAGTGGATGTATGTTTGGGTCGGCAAGCTTCACTCTGCTCTACCCAGACTCCCAAGTGGGGCCCTCATGTGCTCTAACTAATGCTCTTGTCAAGTGTGAAGTTGGTCAGTATATAGAAGTAGATTGATATACGGTACCACTGTTGTCATGTTATGCCACTTTAAACTTTAATTCTTTGTTCTACCAGGTATAAATCTTATTCTCCAACAGCTATTTAACTGATTGTTTTGATTATTTCAGTTGAAATAATTATCATAATTGAAGTCAAATTTGATGCATCAGCTTTGGTCCTTCGTGTTCACAATATTAATTTATCCCAAATAATTCATTATTATTAAAAGGACACCCATTTCAGCCAGAACTTTAATTTTACCTCATATACTTTATCCGTCAGTGTTGCAAACGAGCACAGCGGGAGACTTACAAGTGGCAAGCAAGAAACGCAAGTGGCAGGTGGACGACATCCTGCTATACGACGCCTCCATCCCATACACCGCCTCGCTTGCCTCCAGCAAAGACATGACCATCCTGGCTACGCCGCTCGCACGGCTCTCCCTTGATCTATGGCATCCCGACCTACTCACCCCTGAGAGAGAAGCTCTTGCCATGCTGTTTTCATCATGAAGATATAAGGTTTAAATTTCTTTTGTTTTAAAAATACCGCCACACAAATTGATTCATGGGTTTTGGTTTAGTAAATCACGTGGCAAAATATTGATGATTGCTTTTTCAGTGTGATTATTAAAATTTTATCTTTAAAAATACTGGGAAATGAAATTTTTGGCTTCAATGTTTCCTCATCAATTAAGAATATGCATATTCTTATTTTGTCAGAGAAATATAATTACGCAAATTGTTTTTTACTTGTTAAATCAATTCGGTTTGTTTAGTAATTGATCTCAAATAGTCAATAATTTTCTCACAGGTAGGGTGTTAAGCATTAATTGTTTTCCAGATCAATCCTCGTTTCTGGGTAAGAGTAATGACGGCAATTTTTGAGTGCCTGCAATTATTTATCTTTAGACTCTCAAAATACAGATGGAGACTAGCAATAAAACTAGATAAGTACTGTAACCTCCAATTTAAGAACATTAGTTCCTGGTTGAGTTTCAGTGTTCATTCAAGCCTTTGCAGACTGAAATTCAGCATTTATCTTATTTTGATTTATTATGTAATTATCTGTTATTATATTGCATCGGATCACTTCCGTATCGTTATTGTAGCAACTCATTCAGCGCCGAATATAAGTACTGAGGACAGGTAAATTGCCTCTATTTTTTCTTCGATGAGATTGCTCTATGAAGATGTGCTATTCCTTCCAATTTCATCGAGTTTCTTTTTGTGAGCTGTTACAGTTTAATGATGCTGCCACAACGTTCATTTTATGAAATTTTCAGTAACTTCATGTGAGTAGAAATTCTAAGTGATGGATTGTTTGTGGGTGGGTAGAGGTATAGATAATAGCGGGTACATTTCTTAGAATTAGAGTAATCCATTAAAATAATGTGTAATATAAATCAATCCGATTAGTGACATGCAATTATTTTCCACTTTCTGTTGTTTCCATGTCATTTATTTATTTTTTTCATTTTGTAAATTCATGCATCTAAATAAATCTTTTGATATTCATAGTACTATTCCAGATTATATAGGTATTCCAATACATATGTGTTTTGGGTATTAAAATATTAGCTTCAAAAATATATGTATTTGGCAATAAGAAAAGTTGTTAAAAAGAGGATGAACTACATTTATTGCTGGCAAGAACCAAGTACTTAATCTACACTAGTCAATTGCACGTCGTAGTCACATAGCACTGAGTAATTACATTTGCCTACTGAATTGTATATTAATTAGTGAGTATTGTTCAATTCTAAATCCATTCTCTGCTAGCATACAGCTTGTAATTTACAATCAATGACTTGAATTTACAATTTAATAGTATTTACAATGAATTATCTATAAGAAAAACAAATATTCAAAGTGACTCTTCTTGAAGTCACTTGCTACGCATCTCCACGTCACTATTACGCTCTCTGCTCTAGCTTTTTTAGTCAAGGAAAGACTTGATTGAATTGGTGATTTATTGGCATTGATTAAAAAAGTTTTGAATTTTACTTCCAATAAAAATTTGCAACGTTCTTTTCCTCCACTAATCGTTCTTTCTGGCTTCTGTATCTGCCATGTAAGCAGCTCTATGGTGTAGCTAACGAGGGCAACCTATAGCTTGTTCTATTTATTCTGATTATTAATTGACAGACACGTGTCTCAGAGTAGCATCCAGTGTGATATTAATCTTCATGTTGATATAAAAAGTGTTCTCTCTACGGCTGACCATGTCGCCAGCTTTATGATATGTAATCCAACACAGTTAACTATGTCTAGTTGCTTAGTATCCTAAAAAGTGTAGCGCAGCTGGTTGTGTTAATGTATAATATAATAGACGTGAAGGCAAGAGCTAAGCATAAATGTTTACAATTTCTTATATTACTTTGAATTTACAAGATTATAATTATAATTGGTTAAAAATATTTTGTCATCTACCCGAGTTCAAGTTTAAACGATTTCGTAGAGAATAAATCAATTGGTAAAATTTCAATGCAATATCTGTTCAATTTCCCTGAAGCAAAAGCAACTATTTTTCAACGTCTCCACAGAAACGTTGAAAAATTACTGCTTGCGTCATTACACAAGCGGGAATATTATAAGTCTCTCTATTGCCAATTTAGTATTACTTTTCGAACAATTTACTATTGTTTCATTTCTGCTCAGGAATTGAACGAAACTATCATGTCTTTTTCTGCTTACGTTCTTAACTTTTTGCTATGTATGAACAGAATGAACAGTAATAATATTTTTAATTTTATGTTCAAACTCGAATTCTTATCCTCTCATTTGTGATAAATTTTTCTTAACGCTATGTACAATATATTAGAGTGAACTCGTGTAAATATTTACAAACTAAATGATTTGGCACTTGAAGAGAGCACACGATATCTTACTCTCTCGTGGAGATTTGACTCGGAATCCCTGTCGCTTTGAATTTCAAACATTTATTGGAACAATGACTTAATGAACGGGTGTTCCTATATCAAGTTTGTCACAAAAATATCGAAATCATAAAAAAATTGAAAACAATTCGTGCATCTCCATAGCTTCATGGGACAGAACAACTCGTTACTAAATTCAAGACAAGAAAGGTTCCCCATTCGGCGCTTGCTGACATGACTTGTGTTGCTTTCTATATGATTAGTTGTCCGAATAAGTCTAGCTCATTCTTGCAATTTGTATTGCTCTTTTAAATATAGTATTATTCCTATATGTTTTTTGTAAATAACTAAATTGTTTAAAAACGTGCATTGGGAGAATTATGATCAGTTTTCCTCATGGTTGGATTCAATCATGAGTTTTCCTTATCAACTGTAGCTCTCCCCTGAAACAAACTGCACTTCATTACAAATTTGCTTACACGCTAATTGTCATGAAAAATTTGTCAATGGCTTCCCTGTTTCATGACGAAGAGACTCATTTCACTTTTCTACTTCTTTCTACACATATCCGCCGGTCGACAATTGGTAAAAGCAAAAGACCCGTCACTTCGAACTGTGCCCTGGGACATAGTGCCGTGTTGGTCCATCGTCCGCCAGTGCCGAACAACTCCGTCAGATGTCGTTTCTGCAGCAGTTCCTGCTGTCTTGCTAATGGACTTTGCTTTTTCCCTATTAGTCTTCAAGGTTTGATCGACTTGTGTGCTTCGGCTACCCGAGATTTGCATGGGCCTGCCTCTAGACGATTGTGATCTGGGTGGCCGCACGCTTTGGTGCTCGCGGGAACTCTGAACTGAGTCAGTTCTCCCGACTCGTTTGTTTAGAACACGACCTGGGCTTCCTGTACTGAAATGAGCCAACTGTTGTGCTCTCGTGATTGTGCGCGTTGGTTGGTCGTCCTTGTCGGCTCGCATAGGTGATTTGTCGTCTTTTTCTTTTTTTGTTCCGACTTTGGGGACATTTGAACTACTCGGTGGTTTTGGGTCTGCCTTGCGTTGTCGCAAAGGAATCTCTTTAGCCAAAGCCTGTATAAGTAAATTACGCATTGCCTCTCCATTAACTGAATTCTTGCCGACTTCTGTTTCACCCTCATCCTGCTTCAAACCAGCTTGTTTGCCTTGTCTGTTCCTGGTGCTCAATATTTCCTGAACCTCCGGAGAACTGATGAGCGATGCTAGCAGCTCACGCACCACCTGAATATTATTCCTCTTCTTTTCCTGCGATTCGTTAGGTGTCAAATTTGCCGGAATTCTCGGAGTTGTTGGTTGTGGTTGCCTAGGTCTTTGTGGACGTCTTGGTGACGCCTGATTTATCGGTTCTTGGGATGTGGCTGACTGTGGAATTCTACCCGAAATATCTTGAGAGCTTCCGGAATGCAAGGCAACTGGGAGAACTGTCTTGCCCAAGTTCTGTTTCGGTTCTGTCGAAGATGGTGATGGTCGCCGATTGGCAGTTGTTTCCGAGAGCTGCTCACTGAGTTCGTTTAGAGAATTTTGATTATTCTTGAGCGTTATTAAGTCTTGCAGGAGCTTACCACTACCCTCAGCATCTAGTATTTCTTTCAATATTTTCATTTTCTCCATATGAATATCATTGAATTCAATTCCAGTGTCAGGCGTCTTTTTAGCATTGTTAAATCGGTCGTCGGGATTACCGGTGTGAAGAACTAATGGCCCTTGTGTGTGTTCTCGAGATTGTTGACCAAGAATACCGGACTGCGGGACTGACTGAATTCCTAAATTTCCAGACGCCATGTGTGTGCTTTGAACCGGTGTAACAACGTTTAACGAGCCAGAATGCACTGATAAAGGAACAGTTGATAATTGAGAATGGATAGTTGGAGAATGTGGCGCGTGTAACATTGTGGTGGACACTGGCTGAAGCTTGAGAGGAACTCCGTGTGGAAGAACCCTTGGGTCGTTCGTCGAACTTGGCGCTCCTGAATTTCCGGATGGTGCCACTATATGAACGAAATTTGGCTGGTTGTGGATAGGATGCTGTGAATTTGCACTGGCTGGTTGAGGTGCTGTGCTGATGGTGGGGGTTGATATCTTTGGAGCTGTTACGAAAGTATTGAATTGACTGGGCTGCGTTTGGGGAGGAACGTTTTGCAAGAATCTTGAGTCCTGATTATTTTCCGATGTCGTAAAACCAGGATTGAACTGATTCACTGTATGATGCGCATTTGAAATACTCGAGTCAGTTCCTTGAAATGTATTGGGGCTCAACTGTGGATGTCCGGAGATTCCTTGCTGATGACCATTGATCACAGCAGCGGCAAGTTGAAAGTTTAGTGAAGCGTCATTAGACTGACTGTTACTATTCTGCAACGCTTGATCGCCGTTGGGGTTGGTAAACCCCGCAAAACCATTCTGTTGGTTTGTGTTGGCAAAACTTCCAGCTCCGTTTTGAAACCCGACATGTCCCGCATTCAAGATTATTCGAAGAGGTTGCTTTTTTGACGGCGAATCCACTGCCTGAGTTTGAATTTGTTCGTTTACAAATGTTTTTCCAGAGCTGGGGACGTTCGGTGTCTGAGTATTCTGCTGGAAATTATTGGCAGTTGGTGGCAAAATTTGCACCGGTGTGTTGCTGACGATGACATGCCCTGCTGGAATTGGAGGAGGGAAGTCGTTCTGGCCTCCACTGAAGTCGGCTACAATAGTATTTCCATTCGAGCTAATTGACGTTTGTGGATGCACTGGAATATTACTACCGATCACTCCTGTGGTTTGAGAGTTCGAGTGAAAATTGTTTCCGTTTTGGCCAACACTTGCTTGCGAATTTGAATTAAAATTGTTAAAGGTTGCACCCCCATGTGAGTTAACTGGAAAGTTTTGCATGTCCGAGCTTATTGCGTGCTGGATGTTTGTAGGAATGTTGTTGGCATTAAATGGCGGGCCGTTCCCGGTTTGAAGGTTCTGACTGACATCGACTGGAGCGTTATTTCCGAGCTGAGGTACAATCTGCGATGGCTCGTTGTTCATTAAATTAGGCTTCATTTTATGAGATGGCTGAACGATAACTGGATTTTGTCTGTCATTAGAAAATTGACTAGATGGGCGATTCTCTGCTATTATTTGATCGGACATCTTACCGGTCACATGACTTTGGTCACCAAGAATAGGTTGCAAATTCCTGCCTGCTGTAATGGTATCCCCTGTATTCTTGTTGTTCTCTGGAGCTCTCTGAATTGGGCGATTTCCAGGGATGGGTTGGACCGATCGATTCTCATTCTGATTATTACTTGCGCCAGAGATGCTGCGAGGTCTTCCACCCGGTGAGGATATCGCGTCGTTGGACTCGGGCTTGCGTACTTTGACAACGTTGTGTACCGGCACTGGTTTTCCAGAGATTTCCGTGAGATGTTGAAGCTTGTTTGACGGTTCCTGCTCAGGGTTCAGATTAGTGAGTCGTCCGTTGTCTAGGTTGGGTCTGCGGATAGAACTTCCAGCTGCGTTTCTTGCATCTCCTGAAACTTCTACCACCTCAGCAATGGAGGCGTCCGGGCTGCCGAAACCAAGCCAACCGTTCTGATGGCACAGCACCAACCCGATGATTATGGCCATCACGAACTGCACACCGAGAAAAAATTTTGTAATACATCTCTGTTATTCTAGGTATTGAACAGTTATAAAACGATCTCATGTCCACTGCGCCTAGGAGCGCTTGAAATTAACTAACATGAAATTACTATCGTTCCAATACGGCTCTCTACTGGATCAATAGTAATACCTTCTAGTTAGGCACGTATCATATTTTCCCCATTATTTATTCCTTCAAACTATTACCTTGAATTATGGGCGATTTGTTCATTTCAGAAATCGGCATGATCACTGAATCAATTTGACGAGGAATGAATTATTAGGCAACGAAAAAATTGCAGGAAATTAGGCAACGAAAAATTGCAGGAAATTAGGCAACGAAAAAATTGATTGAACTCAACAAGAAACACCACTCACCAATAGCGTATAGCACCCAATGAGAAGAACCGTCTGTAAGTTGAACCTGTGTTTCCTGCTGTCTTCTTTGAACGGCAACCGGTTGACCTGGAGGTAGTAGTCCTGAGCTCTGTCTTGTACGGTTGGAATTACCGTGCCTTGTTGCAGACTCAAGTGACTGCCGCCGTGGGACCGCAGTGGCAGGTAAGCACTTCCCATGGTCCCCATGTTGTCAGGTAAGGTTTTCTGCAACGTGGCCCCTTGCTGCAGTGACAAATGACTACGGTTATCCGGGGCATGTCGTGGACTAGTCAGCTCCAGAGATCTCACGCTGACCCTGTCTCCTCCTATGAACCTGTGGCCACCGTCTGGCAACACCGACACTTGCTCGGGGTAGAGGTTTAGAGTGTTGCTTCTGCTCGCTGGAAGAGAGTGAGAGTTGTGCTCCGATAGACGAGCCAACGCACTCGGGACTCTGCCTGATCTACTGTGACGACGTTCTCGATCATGGTGGTGGTGATGGTGGTGATGACGGTCATGGTGGTGATAATCTCTGTCCATAGAACCACTCCTCGAATGACGCCGTGGTCGTGGAGGAGGTGATGGGTCGCGTAGTGTGGATGTGCGTAGCAACGTCGATGGGTGATTGTGGTCGTGAATGTGACACAGATGGCAGTCTTCCCTGCTACCGGGCGGCATCTTAGATTTTTATGTCAAGTTTGTATTCCTTAAAATATCTACTGTGGGGGAAATTTCTTGTACTGCGCAGTGTTAATTTATCACCATACCAATTTATCACCGCAGTGTTAATTTATCACCATAGTGTGTTCTTGACTGAATGTTACTTCTGCTAGAGGCTAGTCTGGAGTAACCGAGGCAAGATTCGAATGGCCGGACTTGGAATTGGTGAATTGCTTGTGCGTTGGAGGCGACGATATTCTTCGCACATATCGATGATCTCTCAAGTCCAGTGGCACCCCATGCTGAAACAAAAAGGAAAATCGTGTAACGATTTATAAATACAGTGGACAACGTCAAATCGTGTGGACTCGCTTCGGGAAATAGAATACGGCAAAATAATAATAGAATACGGCCATAACACAATACGGCAAAATTATTTCATGAGCGCGCTATAAACATCCCACAGAAATGCTAGGGTATGCGAGCTATAAAGCATTGTATTTAGACGTTATCGAAGTCTCTCGACTGTTGCTGGAATGTTCGAGCAACTAGCGTGTCGCTCCGAATATTAATGGTTAATTACTAAAGAAGTGGTCACTACACTCGTCTCCGATGGGCCCATAATTTATTTGTTCTGGGTCCCTAAAAAAGTTGGGCTCACAAAGTCGGACCAATTTCAGACCGAATAAATTTGAAGGAAATACTTCAAGCAGTCGTCACATGGTAGTCGGAAGAGAAGCCTGTCTATTTCTATCGAATAAATGCCATTACTAATCCAGTTGCAGAGGCTGCTCTCTTCTATCAGTGACTGTCGAAGTCGATGAAATCTGTCGAATAGAAAAAAGTCGATAAAAGCATGGTTTCCGTTTATCTCCAATGCTGTTCCTACCTGAATTGGACAACTAATCTTAAATTCTTCAGGGGCCTGTCATTGAGTGCTGATAAGGAAGGTACTAATAAGCAACGGAGGCACTCGCGGCACTCCAAATAAAAGGCACGAGAGCGGCGAGAACTGCGAGCGTGTCAAGCAAAGCGCGAAGAAATTCGAACTCATTTGCTTGAACGTCGCCTCAGGTTCTTTGAACTCTAAGTGAACCTGCAAAACCCAAGGTTGCGAGCGTTGCTTTCTCTGGCTATCCAAAGCAGAGTAATTCTTTACATCGTGGCTGATGATCCAACACGCCGAGGCCTCTGTTTGACCGATGGTTTGGTTATATGCTAACTTCGGCGACCGATAAATCGTCGAGTACACGATGAATAAACATTTTTGCTTTGCACTGGCAGAGCTGGGCAGCGCTACTTGGAAATGTAGCGGCGCTACCGCTACCGCTCCATGCTCTAAATGTAGCGGGCGCTACCGCTACCGCTACACCCACTAGATTGTAACGGGCGCTACCGCTACCGCTACACCCACTAGATTGTAACGGGCGCTACCGCTACCGCTACAGTAAAATGTAGCGCGCTACATTAGCCGCTACAATGGCCAAAATTATTACTTAAGTAAAATCTAAAGGCTTTATCTATAAATGTAGCGGTAGCGCTGTAGCGGTAAAACCTCGTATCGCTACTTAAATATGTAGCGGGCGCTACGTACCGCTACCGCTACATTGCCTTAAATGTAGAGCCGCTATACCGCTACTGAAAATGTAGCGGCCGCTACATGTAGCGCGCTACTGCCCACCTCTGTGCACTGGGTTTAATAACTTATTTTCTTCCAGCCTTGTAGTACATAAAACATAATGTACATAATGGCTCTGTTTTACGAAAATGGTTGAACTAGACAATCTCCTGCTTATACATCATTGTTCCGCAGATCAGAAGGAAGTTTGTAAAAATTCTGCTAGACAAGGCTAGGTTTCATATTTTTATTTTTTTTTTTTTGTGCGACAGAAGCCTCAGTGATAAATGAAATACAAATTTATCGAACGCAGAAGGCACCGTCAATAAGTGATACGAAAGTTGCTGTTAAATTGTTACTTTCCGGATGTGGAGTAATGGATTACTGGAATAGTAATGACGGCGACAGCAGCAGAACCCACTTTGAACCTATACCCGGATCTGGGCAGCGTTACTTCGTTGAAATGTAGCGGCCGCTACCGCTACGTGCTCTAAATGTAGCAGGCGCTACCGCTACAATTGCTTAAATGTAGCGCCGCTACCGCTACTGAAAATATAGCGGCCTCTAGTAGCGGCCGCTACATGTAGCGCGCTGCTGCCCACTTCTGGTAACAACTAACATGTTGACACTAGTAACAGGCTGAGGTTGACAACATTACAGCGAAATCTTTCGTACAGTTTTATTCTGTAATTTATATTATGTATGTATCATGCTGGTTCTTAAATAATATTTAATACAATTAAGTAAAATCTAAAGGCTTTATCTATAAATGTAGCGGTAGCGCTGTAGCGGCAAAACCTCGTATCGCTACTTAAATATGTAGCGGGCGCTACCGCTACCGCTACAATTGCTTAAATGTAGTGCCGCTACCGCTACTGAAAATGTAGCGGCCGATAGTAGCGGCCGCTACATGTAGCGCGCTACTGCCCACCTCTGCGCTATACCAAATGCAGAATAAAGGTTAACAGACGATTCGTGGAGAAACATCCGCTCGGCTATTGCTTGGCAACATTGTCATGTAAATTTCAGCCTGAAATTTCCGGTTTGTTGAAGCAATTCATTTCTGCTCGGACCTAACGGAGAACAATGACTGTTCGAACAAGCCTTTACGTAGCCCCCAGCCCTCCTGTTTTTTAGAAGGTTTTGGGGAGGTGGGCTTTGGAGTGAAAGTGGGAGGCAGACAGTCCGGAAATATTTGAATCACCGGAATCAGCGCGACGGCGCGACGAGTGCCGTATGACGCGTTAGCTTCGCTTGGTTATTGTAACGCAGCATATCTGGACAAACTCTGCGTTACCACTGTACAGCATTACTTTCACTTAACTTTGTACACTGTCTTAATCTTTAATTTTCTCTTAATTTGCTCCAAGGCTCCAACACAACTCTTATACATTGGCGTAATCATCATATTCGAACCAGGCAATAAGTCCAGCAGCTATCTCAATCAATCGTCAGCTATGGAAAGATCGGGTTCCAAAGGCCAGATCCCTTGTGAATCAAGTCCCGAAAAGTTCAAGAGTCGGCAACAGGCCATGGGCCTATTTCTTCAACGCCGACACTTCTATTCTATTCAATTCTATATTTCCAGGCAGCTTCAAAACAGTACTCACAAGTACGCGTTATCGTAAAACTTCCACTCATGCTTTAACACTGCTCTTATACTCACACTTTGCCTTGTCACACGTTGTATGGAGTATAACACGCATCGCAGTCATGTCATTTTCGTCCATGCTCGAATATAGCTCTTAAATTTACGCGTTGTCCTGCCATTATCTCACATGCTCTACCACAGCTCATACACCTATAAGCATTGGCATGAAATTACCATAAGCACCCCAACCCTGTTCTTATTTGGAAGCTTGTCATACCTCGTATTCATCAGCCATTGCAGCTGATGCAAAAACGCAGCTCAGTGCAAAACGTGATAAAAACGTGAGTTGTATTGTATGAAAACTGTCTTAACGCGAACTCGAACATATTGATTGAGCATGAATCTCTCGGAGATTTTTAGTACTAGAAAGCGGCCTGAATTTGTAAGTATTTGCTACACATTTGCTTTCCATGTATCCGAGAGAGTAATAACGATTAATATGGTAATAAAAAGTGAACAAATAACACGAAGAATCAAACGACACAGAAAATACAAAATTATTGAAAATTAACGTTCAATTAATAGTGCCCTGCATTAAGAAGCGCAGCAACAACATCGAAAAAGTAGCATGACAGCTGTCATTAGCGGTCTTAGAATTATATTAAAAGTAATACATGGTAAAACGATAAATTTATTGGACGTGTAATTTTCAACATTGTTGCCATCAGCAAAAACTTGAATGAAATCGATCAACAACGGTGTGTCATGAGCGCTTCATCTGTGGACGAGCCTAAGCCTGACCAAACGTCGCCGCTCAGCAGGAGGCGCGGCCGCGTTTATCCTCAAGCTTCTGCTCTACTTTCTCCCTTGTCAGATTTGCTGCACACAGAATTCCTCTTTTTATGAAGCGCCGATTAATATGCGCTACTCACAGATTCATCGAAAGCACTTGCACTTGTATAATCCTTTGAATGAACAATTGAATCTTGATGAGGGGACGATTTTTTATGTAGAGCGGCTTGATCCGCCTACTTGTTTGGGGTACGTTGAGAATCGTCAAAAAATGCATTATTAAAGACTAGTAATTTTTCTCGTTGAATAGAACGAAACTGGTACAAAATATAAAAAATATTTCAAGTTTCCATATAAATCATGAGGAAAAAGTACAGGGTTGCACTATGTTAATGATTTATTCCGCTTTTGTGAAGTGACTTGCGCCTTTTATGCTTTTAACAAATGGCACGAGTAACGAGGCATATTTTTCGATAGCTACACCCAACCATCATCACTCAAAACCATTCACTTTTTGAAAGATTACGTACCGCATGCAACGTGAGGTATCAAGCTCATCGTACCAATTTATGTGCTTCAACTCCCATCACTTAGACGCAATCAATATTATTCCAAGGTTCACTGCAGCTCGCTGCCTGCAGAATATAACTGATTCTACACCAATAATCACTACTGAATAACATTACCTGAACTTCATAGCTGCATTTCACCGGTACATTCCATGACCCACGAGAAGAACGTCTGGGCTTCACAAACATACAGACAAAATTTCTATCAATATCTCGGTTCTAAGACATACACTTCCGTAATTCACGTTCTTTGCACAATATTATTGCAATAGAAAGTGGAAACACCAATTTTACATTTTCTTGTTACGGGCTCGATAGAACATGATTTCAAAACCGCATTGACAGGCAAATCCATACAAGGAAGTTCCTTTCTCCCCACAAGTGTTTAAATTGAACTTATTTGACCAACTGCGTCCATCTACTCTGACTTACCATTGGCGAAAATTTTCTACTAAACATCGCTACAATTGGGTAGAACTTTTATCGCTTGTACTGGGACCGCAATTATTGGGCAATCAAGCTCATGTCTTCATAGCTGATCCTGGAGTTGTTGACGAGCGGTCACACACATGGTACATGAAAAACAGTGACCGCTACAGCACATGACCTGATGTTTTTTTCGAGATCGTACTCACTTTGCGTAAGAATGAGGCCAACAGGATAGACTGGAAATCACCTTTGCTCTTTACTACACTCACCATAGCGGATTATGAGCGTCACAAATATACGAAA